ACTCCAATCACTGCAAGGTAATCATTGGAGCAGGAGAGCTTTAGCAGTTGAGGAACGTCACAGAAGAACTGGTGAATAATTTTGGCTTTACAGAAGGTGATTGAGAATGTGGTTGTTGTGTACAAGATTCCACAGATGCTTCCACTTAGCCATACAGTTATCACAGCCCACTGACACTTACTAGGATCCATGAAGACCTCGTAGTGCAGTGGGAAGCAGATGGCTACATAACGGTCATACGACATGACTGTGAGAATAGTGAACTCAGCACAAGCCAAAGATGTGAAGAAGAAAACCTGGAGTATGCACTGACCATGGGAAATATAGCCATCATCCATCAGAGAATTGTGAATGGACTGGGGAACCGTGACAGAAATGAAGGAAAGGTCCAGGAGGGAAAGCTGTTTTAAGAAGTAATACATTGGGGTTTGGAGATGCTGGTCTACTGTGGTGATGATGATAATGATGAGGTTACCTGCTACGGTTAATAGGTACACTGCCAAGAACAGCAGAGCATGTAAAATCTGTAGCTCCCGAATGTCAGAAAACCCCATGAGGAGGAATCCACTCATTGTGCTTATATTTGCCATGATAATTTTGAAGAAATTAGTTGTGGTGGCAGCTAGAAGAATGAAGGATATGAAATAATGTAGTAGAAAAATATTATTTTCATTCATTTTTCTCATTGTTTCTTAAAGCAATTATTTATTAAGTCCCTGTCATGTATCAGCAGTGTTTCATTCTGTTGTACACAACATCAGTATGAATCAATACCAACTCAATGACACCTAGCAACAATAACAACATGTATAAGCTACATCGTTGATGTTTGGGATCCAAACATGTATCTCACAGTCTACTATTGGAGTCCTGGTGTGAAGCTCTGGGCTAATGCATCAGACTGCAAAGTCATTTGAACGGCAAGGTCAACAGTTCAAGCTCACAGGCTTCTTCTTGGAAAACATATAGAGGGTCGCTATGGGTCAGAATCAACTCGACGGCACTTCACAACAACAATTAGTAGTCATAGCAGAGTCAGTTGTGCTAAAGTCACTGTGACTGTCACAGAAAAAGGGGACTTTTGTCCCACCCCAAACCCCACAAACTTCCATTTCCACTAATGAAACTCATTTGTTTGTTTTGTTAACAAACAAAAAACAAAAGAAGTGATCAGCTGTTGATTACAGATTTTAAAATCGGATGAGTTTGATTTCTGTAGAGTGTAGCATCCTACTTAGCAGAATTAATAGCCCTTTAGAGAATGTATATATTGGACACAGAAAAAAAAGGATTGATTGGTTGGACAGGGTTATCCCTAAAGTCCTTTCTTGCTAAATGATTGTATCCTAGAGAAAACTGTCTTAGTTGTGGACACAAAGATCAAATTGTATAGTATTACCACTCTTCCAATTAATTTATTATTTAATCAAAATTTCATTGTAATTAAGAATGAGATTAATTCTTTTTTCACTTTTGCAAAATAAATACATGTCACTCTCAGATTCAGTGTTTCTTTTCCTGGAACAATTTTTTGGTATATAAATTAACTTTATCTTTGAATCTTCTTTTCATTCATCTTCTCTTGCCTTTGTTTGCAACATCAAAAGAGAATCTCACAAGAAATCAACTGATAAATATTTCTGAGAATGGAGAAATCAAATTTTGGTTCATCATCTAGTACTTTGGGCTTTGTGGAAAGGAAATAATCAGGATACCTTCATTAAAGTACTGAAAACCAAACTCACTGCCTTTCTGTCAATTTGGTTTCACGGTGATCCTATAGGACAGAGTAGAACTGCCCCATAGGGTTGTCAAGACTGAATTATTTAGGGAAGTTGACCACCATATCTTTCTCCTGAGGAGAAGCTAGTGGGTTCAAATCTTTTGGTTAACAGAAAAATGCTTAAGTGCTACATCACCACAGCCCCTTTACAGTTATGAGAGCTGATACAACACTTCACAATGAATCCCTCAAAGTCCTTGATTTTTTTATTTCCATGTCTGAGTTCTAGGCAACATTGTGAAAACTCCTGCATCAGCCTCTTCTGTGGCTTTAGATTAAACCACATGGCATCTCACACAATCTATTTTTGTATCTTAGTAATTCATCTTCTTAGAAATTATAACTGGGAGATACCTAAATCAAGGTCACCTCCAACTATCCATTCTTCATCATGTTTTATTGTTATGGGACTCACATGGACCCTTAAGACTAGAGTAGAACTGTCCTGTAGAGTTTCCAAGGCTGAATTTGATTGGATGGAAACCAACTGCCACACCTTTTCCTGGGTAGCAGCTGGTGGGGTAATTTGTCAGTTAGCAGCAAAGTCCTTAAACACTGTGTCACAAGAGGGCCATTTCAGTTATGAGGGCTTATAAGTCAAGTCACCATCAGTTCCTCATATTTGATTTTTTTTCCCTTCCATCTGTGAGTTCTAGGCAACAATTTTAAGAATTTTTGCCTCAAAGTCTTTAGGGAGTTTATATTGAACCATGTGACAGCTCATCAATATTTTTTATATCTTAGTAATTAATACACTTAGAAATAATTACTGGGAGAATCCTAACTCTTGATGCCAGCACTCCCTCCCTATCCCCTATCATTAAAAACAAAAACATTTTATTGCCATGGGATGAACATTTAGATAGCAACTATCCATGTACATTTTGTTTTGTGGCATTGATCAAAATCTCTGTAACACCTCTCTTCCCACTTTTCCCCTGGGTTTACTGTTTCCATTTGTCCTTTTTCCAATCCTTCTGCATTTTAAGTTTTATCCCACTGCAAGTGCTGCCCTTTTGACCTTGAATGGTTGATTATGTTTAGAACAGTGCTTACCTCCCTGTTCACTTTATAGGCTTGTTTATCTTTTGGCTGAAAGTTAAGTCATGGGAAGGAGTTCAATTCCAGGCCTGAAAGGTATCTAAGAACCATAGTCGCTGGGATTCTACAAGTCTCCTTTCATACCATAAACCTAATCTTTTTTTTCAATTTTTAATTTCATTCCACATTTTTCTCCCACTCTATCCAGGACCTCCAATTGTGATCCCTTTCAGAGCAGTGGCAAATATATTCATGAATATACTAGAACATACAGGGGGAAAAGTCATTAAAACACCTTGAGAAAATGAGTCACTTGCCTTGGGGGTGAAGAAGGGTAGTCTCAGGGGACATCTAGGTCAACTAGCATAACAGGGTTCACAAAGACAATGTTCTACATATCTTAATATTTTGAGAGTACAGATGTTTTAGGCTTATTTTGATATCCACACTTCATCTCTTTCCTGAAGCATGTACCTGGCATTTAGGCATTCCATTTGTATATTTTACTATCTGAAATGGGACAGTGGTTTTTGATATGTAAAAAAAAAAAAAAGGATATTAAATTAAATGTTAAAAGCTTTTGTTCTTCCTTCTAAATTTAAAGTCTCTTGTCTTACTCTCTAAAAATGAAGTGTATGGTTAATCTATATTGAATCTCACCAATTTTATCAAATTCCATCAAATGCTCTGACTAGGTAATAAAAACAAATAATAGGAACTAGAAAATAAACTGTGTCAACTGTGTTAGAGCAATTGTGTTGCTTCTACCATAATCTTTTCCTTTCCATGTACTTTTTTTTATCCTTTTTTCTTGAATTGGTAAAATGATAAACAGCATTATTTTCCATACTTAATTTTTACTTTGTTTCATTAAATATTTTAACATGTGTAATTTATATAAGCAACGAATTAACTTTCTACAGGGAAGGGAGAAAGAACAAATCAATTGTTAATGTTCTTGTTTTATGAGACAAACACCATTTTAGAAATTTTTAAGTAAATTTTATTCATTTCCTAGAGAAATTTTAGCTTCTAGGAATTTAGTTCCATTTTTAGAGGAAAAAATGACTGCAAGTACTTAATTACTGTGATTGAGATCAGAGTCACAAACACTTGGGCTTTCTAATTCACTCTATTATGTTGCATCTAAATATTTCTATTTATTCATAGGCATACAGGAGCATTGGGGAAAGGCCATAACTACACTGAAAATATATTCACATGTCTAACATGTATAGATGATCTAATCATGAATCATTTAAAGAAGTGTTTCACAGTTATCTCACCAAATACTTACATGATGATGTTGTTAAATGTCATTGAGTCAGTTTCTATCCATAGCGAACCTGTATATGGTTTCTGAGGAGCAATAGTTAAGCTTGAACCACAGACTTAATGATTCAAACCAACTTTTCAGTCCAATGCATTAACCCACAATACTGCCTTTCTCAGTTAACCAAATTTTCTTAACTGGCACATTATTGTAATACATTTATGTAAATTTAATCTTTAAACTCTGTCAATTTGCTAATTTTAAAGGAAATTAGCTTCTCTTAGAATCAATAGTCTTGCTTTTTCTACCTCATTAGAAGAATATCAGGTTCTGTCAGAGATTCCATCCACTATTTTCCTGTTTCCTTATTAAAGCTTAGAAAATTCACCACAGTAACAGCTGATCACACAGTAACAGCTGATCGCCAACTTTTTGCCTTTCTCACCAGCACTCACACTGATCTTTTAAAACCCGCTGATTCCCTTGAGAACCCAGCGCTATTCTTTTGTTTCTTCCTTTTTTTTCAGCTTTCTTAATGGAAGCCAGAACTGATAAAGATATTTCATCTCTCTACCTTTCTGAGACAAAGGGGGAATGTAATTAAAATCAGTGATCCGATTTCTATAAAGTGATAATGGTGAGCAGTTTGTAATATTTAATTTTAACAATTTTAAATATTACACAGAGAGTTCTTCCCTGTTTCTCCAAAAGGCCCTCTACTTAAAATTCACCAAGAAGCTATGCTTTTCCTTTTCATATCTAAAACCTCTCTATTGTTGTTATGATTTGTCATTGACCATATGTAAGGTTAGCATGCATTGAGTGGTGGGTTTGAACTGCAAAACTTGTGGTTCACAGTCCAGAGCTTTTCCTATAGCACCACATGAGAACTCCAAAACATCCTTGTTGTAGTTGTTAAGTGCCATCAAGTGTATTACAACTAATAGTGACCCTGTAATAGGACGTCTAAGGAGTGGCTGGCAACTTTCAATTGCTAACCTTGTGGATCAATCCACTTTGTGGTCCCATGCTTACATTGCAATGTTACTCCAGTGCTCTTTAGTGGCACAAAGTTTAGCTGATACTTTTATCAAAGCAATACCAGATTAGGTAAATTTGTAAATCTATGAGAATTTGTATCCAAAATTGATGGAAGTGTCAACTATTCAAACTACTCTGGAAACAATTTAATATTGTATACGGAGGTTTTAGATGTTGAAGAAAAAACACAGCCTTTTGGGGAAATTAGAGTTGGTACCAAAGAAATTTGACTATGTGGATCATAACAAGTTATGAATAACATTGCAAAGAATGGGTATTCCAGAACAATTGATGAGGACACTGTACATAGACCAAGAAACAGTTGTTAGAATGGAACAAGGGAATATTGAATGGTTTAAAATCAGGAAAGGTGTGTGCCAGGGTATATGCTTTCACCATACTTATTCAACTGTATGGTAAGCAAATAATTCAGA